GTAGTGCAGACTGACGTACAGCTCGGCATCCTCCTTCCTTGGTCTCTAAGTGCTGAGGTCACTGCCTGCCACTGCTCATTATCTGGGGTTCTTATATGGATAGCAGCCATATTGGATGTTCCAGTATGGCTTCATCTTGACCAACTGTATCTGCACATTCTCTCCAAGCAGTTACATTCAGAAGTTTCAGAAAGGCCATGAATGTGGGATCAGGTAGGGAAATGTTACTAGCTGGCCCAGGACAGCCACTAAGTGTTGGAGCTCATCCCCGCAGAAGGCTTTGGCATGGCTGGGAAAGCCACGTTCTGAATGCTGCTCTGTGTGTAGCATTGGTGACCTGAGTTCCTTAAGTTTCTTCCCTCTGAACAAAAAGAATTCGTTGTTCCATGTGACCCTGGTGGGTATTTTAAGAATCAGTGCTGTCCTGAAGGTCAAGTTTCATCAGATCGGGATGGTCTTTCATGGCCATTTTCCAAGTTGTTGCACTGAGAGATGCCCTGCACCTCATTCCTGGTCCTGGGTGTGTCTTAGAGGCTGAGATCATTTTGTTGTCAATCTGGGGCTGCTATGCCAGTAGCCTGGGATCAGCACCAGCAGAGGGAAGCACAGAGTGTCTCAGGCCCCGCTCCCTGACATCAGAAAGTTGGCTGTGGGGAAGGATGCTGTCTCCACCTTCCCAGCTTGTATGTCTTTGCCTCAGAAGCTATGTGCTTTGAAGGTTGCTGAGCCACACCGGGATCCTGGCTGGTCGCTTCTCTATTAGTGTTTGATCTGAACATTAGTAGCATGCTGGGTCCAGCACAGACAAGCATAAAGCCATGTGATGCCTGCTAAAGCCTTGGGATCTATTGGGGGAAGAAAGTCAGTTGTGTGTGTGTGTGTGTGTGTGTGTGTGTGTGTGTGTGTGTGTGTGTGCTGGCTTCCTGCCTCACCCTGACTGTGAGATAGGGTCTCGCAGGCAGGCATCAAACTTGGGGTGATTCTCCTGCCTTAGCCTCCCAGGTGCTTGTATTGCAGCGCCACACACAGCTTTTGCCAGCCTCTTGATCTCTGTCCATGAGCTGGTTTGAGGTCCTCTCCCCCGTTTTGCAGATGTGGAGCTGAACTATGGCAGGCACCTGAAAGACTTCATTTTGCCTCTTCCAAGTTTCAAGGCCTCAATCCATCAGTTTTCCAGTTTGGTTCCCTGGATCCCACTGGGCAGTGAGGAGGATGTAGGCTCCCACTCTGATCTACCCAGACGCCCTCTGAGCTGAGGCCAGCTTCCTGCTGAGTGAAGGTGCAGGATGGCGTGGCCTGCAGACATCTGCAGTGTAGATATTCTAGCTCACACTCTTCTTGGCCATGTTGGCAGCTGAGATGGGAAATGAAATCTGACAGGCCACTGCGGCAAGATGAGACACAGGAGTCCTTCTAGAGGTAACTCACTGTGCAGGGTCCCTGATTGGAAGTTTGCCAAGTCTTGAGCAGACTAGGTGTGCCTCTCCCAGATCCATTTGTGATGATCCTGTTAACACGGGTAGAATGTCAGAGCATGGGCCCCAGCTCCCTGACTTGCTCACTGTGGGGAATGTGCCACTCTAAGCTTGTTTCCCGACTTGCTCTCCTGAAAACTGAGTTTGCTCAGGACTGGAGACGTAGCTCAGTTACCAGAGGGCTGGGTTATTATGCACAAAGCCCTGGGTTCCATTCCTAGCAGCGCATAACCCAGAAGTGAAAATTCAGGTCTGTAATCCCAGCACTTAGGAAGTAGCATTAAGAAGATCAAATGTTCAAAGTCATCCCCAGCTACATAGCAAGTTCGAGTCCAGCTTGGGATACAAGAGACCCTAGCTCAAAAAAAAAAAAAAAAAAAAAAAAAAAAATGAGTTTTTAAAATGTGTATGAACTGAGTGAGTTGTTTGTTCCACGATTGTTTTTTAAGACTCAGCTGGCACCTTGTGTAAACTTCGGCTGCCTCTGAGACAGTCATTGTCATCACTGTGCTGCAGGGTATTTGTCACAGGCAAGCTGCCCCTTCCAAGCTGGCATCCCGAATTTCTGGTACCTGAGATGAGTCTGGGTGCACTTCACCCAACATTTCTCAGAAAGTGCCAGCCATGCACAGAGCCAGGTGGTGCCCCAGATATGGCAGAATGGCTTCCCAGGCTCACTGAAGGAAGGTAGGCGGCACCACAGGTTTGAAGTGTGCTTGCAGAAGTCGGTGAAAGAGAGGCGTGTGAATGGACGTTTCCTGTCCCTGAGCCACTCACTCCCAAATTACCACACAGAGGCTTCTATTACTTATGAGGGCTGCTGTCTTCCTGCCATTCCAGGGAGCTGCCTGTCAGTGGTTCCGTGGCCTCCAGACACTGAGTCACTCTGGGCTGCAGTTGCTGTGGCCCTTGGGGAGGGGTCTGGACATTAGCCCAAGGCCTCTGGAGCTGGAGCTGGAGCTGGAGCTGGCAGGGACGCAATAGATGCTTCCCCATTGCTCTGGTCTTGTGCAGCTGGCCAGCCTGGCACCGCTATGAGCTCAGGACACACGCAGAACAGTGACCAAGTTATGTCCACCCACATGCACCTTGCCTGCTGTGGGAGAAATCTGTTCTCTCAAAATATGCATTCTTTTTTTCTTATTTTTAATTTTATATCTTGGGTTGCATATTTCCTTCCTCTAAGAGAAGTCTTTGGTGATTATTTCTAAAACAAGGCATTTCAGAAAACTTTAGCCGACCGGCACTGGGAAAACCACAGGCTGGTGTCAGCTTCTTAGCTACCCTATGCTAGCATTAAAGCAGTTGCAGGGGCCCAGGCCAGGTGCCCCTGGAGGAGCATGAGCTGTGCCATCAGTGCCCTGGTGTCTTCTCACATGGGCTTTCTGTGAGTGGCCATGTTCTCTCCCTCCCTCCCTCTCTCTCTCTCTCTCTCTCTCTCTCTCTCTCTCTCTCTCTCTGTGTGTGTGTGTGTGTGTGTGTGTGTGTGTAGACGGGGCAGTGTTCTGTGAAGAGGGTCTAGAGTGTAGGTATGGTGACAAGAGAGTGTCCATGACCGTGTCAGGGGGGTCTCCAGGCAGGTTAGCGTCCATGACCGTGTCAGGGGGGTCTCCAGGCAGGTTAGCGTCCATGACCGTGTCAGGGGGGTCTCCAGGCAGGTTAGCGTCCCTGACCGTGTCAGGGGGGTCTCCAGGCAGGTTAGCGTCCATGACCGTGTCAGGGGGGTCTCCAGGCAGGTTAGCGTCCATGACTGTGTCAGGGGGGGTCTCCAGGCAAGTTAGCATCCATGACCGTGTCAGGGGGGTCTCCAGGCAGGTTAGCGTCCATGACCGTGTCAGGGGGGTCTCCAGGCAGGTTAGCGTCCATGACTGTGTCAGGGGGGTCTCCAGACAGGTTAGCGTCCCTGACCGTGTCAGGGGGGTCTCCAGGCAGGTTAGCGTCCATGACCGTGTCAGGGGGTCTCCAGGCAGGTTAGCGTCCATGACCGTGTCAGGGGGTCTCCAGGCAGGTTAGCGTCCATGACTGTGTCAGGGGGTCTCCAGGCAGGTTAGCGTCCATGACTGTGTCAGGGGGGGGTCTCCAGGCAAGTTAGCATCCATGACCGTGTCAGGGGGTCTCCAGGCAGGTTAGCGTCCATGACCGTGTCAGGGGGTCTCCAGGCAGGTTAGCGTCCATGACCGTGTCAGGGGGTCTCCAGGCAGGTTAGCGTCCATGACTGTGTCAGGGGGGTCTCCAGGCAGGTTAGCGTCCATGACCGTGTCAGGGGGTCTCCAGGCAGGTTAGCGTCCATGACCGTGTCAGGGGGGTCTCCAGGCAGGTTAGCGTCCATGACCGTGTCAGGGGGTCTCCAGGCAGGTTAGCGTCCATGACCGTGTCAGGGGGTCTCCAGGCAGGTTAGCGTCCATGACCGTGTCAGGGGGGTCTCCAGGCAGGTTAGCGTCCATGACTGTGTCAGGGGGGTCTCCAGACAGATTAGCGTCCCTGACCGTGTCAGGGGGGTCTCCAGGCAGGTTAGCGTCCATGACCGTGTCAGGGGGGTCTCCAGGCAGGTTAGCGTCCATGACTGTGTCAGGGGGGTCTCCAGGCAGGTTAGCGTCCATGACTGTGTCAGGGGGGGTCTCCAGGCAAGTTAGCATCCATGACCGTGTCAGGGGGGTCTCCAGGCAGGTTAGCGTCCATGACCGTGTCAGGGGGGTCTCCAGGCAGGTTAGCGTCCATGACCGTGTCAGGGGGGTCTCCAGGCAGGTTAGCGTCCATGACTGTGTCAGGGGGGTCTCCAGGCAGGTTAGCGTCCATGACCGTGTCAGGGGGGTCTCCAGGCAGGTTAGCGTCCATGACCGTGTCAGGGGGTCTCCAGGCAGGTTAGCGTCCATGACCGTGTCAGGGGGGTCTCCAGGCAGGTTAGCGTCCCTGACCGTGTCAGGGGGGTCTCCAGGCAGGTTAGCGTCCATGACCGTGTCAGGGGGGGTCTCCAGGCAGGTTTTGGAGAGGGAATGGTATTGGATGGGGCCTCAGAGGGTAAGTGGGGTGAGTCCTTGAGGGGGTATATGATTCCAGGCATTGGGGATGTACATGGGAAGAAAGGCCCCAAGCAGGGGTGCACACGTGTTTGCAGAGCAAGGGGCAGTTGTCATGGCTAAGGATGGGCATAGAGTTAGCCGGAAGTATTCACTGTCCAGGGAGGCCTGCAAGATAAAGAAGGGAGTCCTGCCATCTCCTCAAGTGTCTGTGCTCCACCCAGCATGGCCTGCTGCGACCTCTGGCTGTGACCAGTAGAGCTGGTACCCTCTGTGTAGGCAGGCACCTGGAGTCCAAGCTGGCCATCTCTCCAGTTAGTCCTCCTTTCCCTCACACTCGCATTAACTCAGCTGGACGTGTGCGGGCTAGGCTAAGGTGCAGCAGCCTTGGCCAGGAGCATTGCCGAGCACTGTCTAGGGCACTGGTTACTCTGCTGTGGTGTTCTGCCATCTGCAGCCCAGACAACAGAGACTCACTTGGTTACGGAAGTTCTGCCTCTCTCTTTAGATGATTCTGAAGACGACGACGAAGAGCCTGCTGCCCCAGCTGACAAGAGTGAACTCCACCACACCCTTAAGAACCTCTCATTGAAGTTAGATGACCTCAGCACATGCAATGACCTCATTGCCAAGCACGGCGCTGCTCTCCAGCGCTCCCTGAACGAGCTGGACAGCCTCAAGATCCCATCAGAAAGTGGGGAGAAGCTAAAGGTTGTGAACGAGCGGGCCACTCTCTTCCGCATCACGTCAAATGCTATGATCAATGTAAGTGCTTCCACCAGATCCAGCTACCAAAAGACTCCCCAAAGGGGAAGGGCCACCCCCACCAGCTGCAGGTCCCTGATGGGTGGGTACTTGGCAGACAAGGCCACTGTTTCCTGGGTGGCTTTCCAATGCCAACTCCTTCCAACCGGTGCCAACATTCTGTTTATGTCATCTCCATCCAGCCATTAACTGCTGAAGATATTATTATTCCTTTATTCATGGAGCTAAGGACAGAACTTAGAGCCTCACACATGATAGCCAAGTGCTCCTTCATTAGGGTATAATCCTCCACCCAGGGACAAAGTATTCTCTCTCTCTCTCTCTCTCTCTCTCTCTCTCTCTCTCTCTCTCTCTGTGTGTGTGTGTGTGTGTGTGTGTGTGTGTGTGTGCACGCGCGCGCGCTACTCTGGAGATTCCGGGGGTTGACAGCCTTTGTGAATGGCAAGTGCCTTTACTACTGAGAATCTTACCAGCCCCAGTGGAAGCAAGGTCTAACCCAGTGTCTTAGGGTTCCTGTTGCTGCAGCAAAACACCATGACCAAAAAGCAAGTTGGGAGGAAGTGTATTTGGCTTACACTTTCATATCACAGTTCACCATCAAAGGAAGTCAGGCAGGAGCTGATGTAGAGACCATGGAGGGTGCTGCTTATTGGCTTGCTCATCATGCTCATCATGGCTTTTTTTTTTTTTTTTTTTTTCTTTCTTTTTTGAGACAGGGTTCTCTGTATTGCTTTGGAACCTGTCCTGTAACTAGTTCTGTAGACCAGGCTGGCCTCAAACTCACAGAGATCCACCTGCCTCTGCCTCCCTAGTGCTGGGATTAAAGGTGTGTGCCACCATCACTTGGCATCAGCCTGCTTTCTTATAGAACCTAGGACCACCAGCCTAGGGATGGCACCACCCACAGTGGGCTGGGCCATCCCCCATCAGTCACTAATTAAGAAAATGTCCTGGAACCAGATTTTACGGAGGCATTTTCTAACTGAGGTTCCCTCCTTTCAGATAACTCTAGCTTGTGTCAAGTTGACATAAAACTAGCCATGACAGCCAGGATAGTGTGCAACCACTCCAGCCAACTGACCTCAAATTCACTGCAATTCTCCTTTCTACCTTAGCCTCCCAAAGCACTGAGGAATGAGACATAGCTATTGGCCTTCAGGGGCTTCCTTTAATTTTTCTGATAAAAGGTAGTTGCTGTGGAACCTGCTTAAGGCTCATATGGGTGGAGAAAGCCAAGGCCTAAAGTTGCAAAGCCAGTTCTGCAGGCCTGCCCAGCCTACATAATGGGGACATTGCTGTGACCCTGACCCTTACAGCTGCTCCTGCTTCCTCCCTGTGTATATCCCAAAGTACAGGGACAGGAGATTTGGGGAGGGGGTGAATAGGACTTCCCTAGTCAGGGGGTACTTAGAGCTGGGCCTGCTGAGGGTTATGCCATCCATATAGAGCAAGTGACCAAAACCTACAAACTGTAACACTCAGCTCTGGGAGCCCACCATCCTTCCTGGGCCCTGGAATCCATGTTTCTGGGAATAGGGGCTAGGAAAATGTCTCTGTGGTGATAGGAATGCAACATTTGGTCATACTTCACAGAAGAATGACTCTCGAGATCCAGTTGTGGACACCTCTTTTCCCTGAGAGCAGAGGACAGAGGTAATGGCCACAGAACAGGCCCTGGCAGGAGAAAGTAAGGCTCAGGGTCATAGTGCAGAGGTGAGTCCAGGTCTCTGTGATTCCAGAGCAGCCACTGCCTGCTGCCTCGTGGGAGGAAATCAGCCCATACCTCCCACTGGCTGGAAATGGGAAGCAGGAAAACCTCACCCATGCTTCCTTTCCTGACAGCATCCATGGTCCCACAGTGTTCCATAAACCGCTCATTGCAGCACTTGGCCCTTACTCCTTGAAAGGACAGGACCTTGGCAGCCCCATGACCCTGTAACCTCCATGCTTGGCTCCAGGCCCAGCACACAGGGCTTCAACAAACCAGAGAGAGAGAGAATTAAAAAAAAAAAAAAAAAAAAAAAAAAACGAAGGGAAAATTGTGAAAGAAAGTGGGATCAAATGAATGGATTGCTTTGGTGTCTGGCAGACTTCCCCAGCGGATAATTTTTCAGCTGATAAAAGCCAACCCAGCAAATCCTGCTTGGGTGGCTGTGAATTAGCCTGCCGCTTAGGGAAAATCTCACAGCACTGATAGATTAGCTGAAGGTTGTGGAAGACCCTTGAACCTCTGTGCAGCATGGCTAGGTGCTTCGCCAAGTCAGTACAGGGACCCGTTCCAAGCAGTGTAGCATGAGTCTGCTATTTGGTTTAAGGACTGGATCTGAGCATACTGCAAGCCCACATTTGGGAAGAAAGCTGTCAGGCTCCCTTGTTTCTGCTGATGCTCAGCTCTGTGATGGAGCCAGATGCCAACTTTGGAGAACAGGCCTATGGTATGGTGGCTGGTGGGGGTGGAGAGGGTGGGGGGTGTTTCACTCTGCTTGCTTGGTGACAGAAATAGTCCTCCCTCTTCTGCCCAAGACTTTGTTCCTCACTGTAGCCGTGTGAAGTTGGTGTCGACTATAGTTTCGTCATCATCCTTCATGTTATTTGGGTGCCCAGAGTGGTCATTTTTGCCTCTGTCTTCCTCTCGGAGTGAGAAAAATATGTCTTACATTTGAGCAAATCTTCCTGTGTGGAGAATGGGCTGGCAGTGAGACATGGACAAATATTTGTAGCTATTTCATACACCCTGGGGACAGAGAAAAGGAGTCTGGTGGCAGAAAGGATGCCCAGTGCCACTCTGAGTTGAAGACTGAGCCAGCCAAGATACCTCTTGAGTGGGAACAAAGGCTAAGAGAATGGCCTTAAAATGCAAGCCCGAGCCCGGAGAATAAGGATGCCTGCTCTCTGACACCCACCACTTACTCCAGTTCCAGAGGGATTCCCCAGAATCTTTCCCCAGAAAAGGGCTTGTGCAGACAACAAGTGAGCAGAGCTGGCTCGAGGGGGAACATCCAAGTACACAGTAGGGATACGGAGTGAGAGGCAGGACTGACCCTGAACTCTGGGTCCCTAGGGTTGCCAAGGAAGCAAGCATCTCACAGGACACAGCCAGGCCCCTCCAGAAGAGCTGGCAGGAGGGTTAGTGGGAACCTGGGAAATCTTGACCGAAGGATGTTGGGAGATCCCATGGAGTAGGATGACTTGGAAGGATGAGCCTGTTGGGGAAGGCTGCAATGACAGAATGTAAGGGAGGTATAGGAGGTCTTAAGGGAATTAGGGATGGGGCATTCGACAGGTAGATGTTTATATTTCGCACCTTATAGTACTGAAACGTCATAGAAATTAACAAGTCATGAGGGTCTCTATTTGGGGCAATTACACATAGAAGGAAAGTAACCGAAGGGGCCACTTGGTATGGAGAATGGCTGGGACTTTCCCAAAGCCTCATTTGGTTCACCAACCTGGAGGCATTTGGGGCTCCTTGGGTGTGAGATGCCCATTGCCCTGGTCCTTCTGGGATCATGGAGCAGGCTCTTGCTAGCTGACCAGCATGCTGTCCCTGACAGCTTGCTCACTTAGGGTCTAGGGAGGTAGATTAAAAATAGATTCCAGAATTGTCTGAAATCAGCTGGTAAACCAGCAGCCAGATGGTGCGTGTTCCTGCCTGCAAGGGGTGAACTATTTTGAATGTGGAAAGGCTATTTTGGAGTTTTAATTGGAGCATAGAGCTGCCTCCCCAACGCTGAACATGCGTCACAGCCAAGAAGGCCCACCTAGGTCAGGGGAGGTCTGGAACCTTGGTGTTAGCCAGACCATGATGTCCAGACCAGGGGGGCCTGGCCTCACTACCGTAGACCTTGGCCTAGAGGGGACTAGGAAGGAATGACGACAGCATTGTGGCTTCACCAGATCACGGTGGCTCTGAAGTGACCCCAGTACTCCCACCACAGGTTTAGGGGACCCCACTCTTGACTCTGGACCTGATGGACAGGCATCTGCCACAAAATAGTAGCCTCTGGTTCGGGCAGCGCCACTCCCTCCCACCTGTGAGGTTATATTCAACTTGAGAATTGTAAGCACAGGGCCAGCAAGCTTCTCCCCAGTGGGAAGGTAGGACCATCTTGGTCCAAGCGTGTCTACTGGCTCTGGCCAACGGGGGGCACTCAGGGAGACTGTGCGTCCCTTTGGGCTCCCAGGCCATTGAAAAGCAAGGATGTCTCCAGGAATCTGGGACCACATGAGGATCAGCATGGTAGCCAGGCAGCCTCAACCCTGGTATCTTGGGGAGCCATCTACCCAGGAGCTGAGGCAACCAAGTACCTCTATAGAACATCTATCAGATGCATGGCAGGTCCCAGCAGGCCCCGGCCTAGCCACAAATGGAAACAACTGACCCTCCCACCCTCCCTTCCCCTGGGGTTATCAGGTTCTGTTGTGGACTAATGGCTGAAGATAGAGCCAGCCACACAGACTGAACCGTCCCTCTGGACAATTGGCCACCTCCCACCTCCTGTGTGAGCCCAGTGGCTGCTCATCCCAGGTCCCAGGCACCCTCCCTCCGCTACCTTCTTCATATCATAGAGGAGAAAGGTAACCGTGGTGATTGGGTGTCAGAGTGGACACTGATAGCTAGTTCACAGCAGGGTTCTCACTACACAGACCCTCCCAGGAGCCCGAGAGCTGCCATGGGCCCCACACAGGCCAGGCAGAGGGCCCAGGCAGGCTGACCCCACAGCTGCTGCCCCTGCCTGTGTGAGGGACCATGAGGTCACTGGCAAGATTAGGATTAGGGACAGCAAAAGCGATTAGAGCTTGCCCTTCTGGGTACGGCGGGGCAGAGGGTTCCAGGTCAGAAACTCTATATCCCACCTGCTAAGAAGAAAGGAAGAGTCCCCCGTGGGGTGGGGGTGGGGTGCAAAGCCCAGACCTTCCACCCTGGAGGTAAGTGGGGCCAGGCCTCCTTTGTGAGGTTCTCAAGCTGCATTTGGGGCATTTCAATAGGCCCCATGCCCTCCCCACAGGGAGCCCAGAGGCCTGGCCTGCATCTCTGGCCCTAAGGAGTAACCATGTTCCCCGTCACCCTTTCCCAACCCTAGGGAACTGGAGGAAGCAGCCGCACCTGGGAATGGAGACCTTATCCCAATCCCAAGGGCTAATTGACCCATAACTGTGTAGGCATCCCAGAGGCAGGTCCTTTATTCACAAGGATGCTGAGTTCTCAGAGGCAGAGGAACTAAACAGGAGGAGAGGCAAGGCAGCGCCCATGTGGGACCCAGACAGCTCTGGCTCCCAGATGGACTCAGTTCGCCTAACCTCCATGGACTCGGGATGTGAGCCCATGGGCGGGAATGGGGGGACTTTGGGTCAGCCATCTCCTGCTGATGGGAGGAAAGGAACTTTCTGGCCCTAGATATAGTTGTGGTAGAACCTCACAGGAAACGTGACCATGTCCGGCCTTGGCAGGGTCAGCCAAGCTTTCCCTACTCCTCCCCCACCTTTCCCTCACCACCCCCCCCCCCTTGATGGGCCCCAGGCTTAATCCAGCTTAGTGAGCACATCCCTTAGGGCACTGCCCAGCTCAGCATTCCAGGGCAGCAGGGCCAGGCTGTCTCTACAGTGTGGCCAGGATGAGGCCTGCGGAAGGCCAGTGGCAGCAGAGAAGACCCTGGGAGTTGGGGATGGATCTCAGGTAGGTGTGTTGGTGCTGGGGGAGGGAGACAGATGGGCATCTGGAGTCCACAACCAGCCAGCACAGCCCGTCTACGGCAAGGAGCCCCACTGGTTCACCTTGGTCCAGTCAAGTGAGCTGCTTGTTTTAGCGTGGGACACTCTGGGGTCTACATGGTCTCATTCTAGCCACACGTGGTGCAAATGAGACCCAGCTATCTGTGGGGTGTCTGACTCCCTGTCTCTCTGTCCCTCTGCACTCGTGGACCCCGAGGTAACTTCAAGGTAGACTGAGGTCACATATAGCCAGCGTGTGTCCAAACAGTCCGCTGAGGCAGCCCTGAGGTCTGGGCATCTGTGAGGGAGCATCTCCCAGGGGCTCCTCCGTTCCACCCTTGGATGACCAGTGGATCCCACATGGTCTGTGCTGTCAAGAGATTTGGGGACAGCAATAAAGGTTCAGCCTCACAGCATAAGCTAGCAGCACTGGCTCTGCGCCCTGGCAGTCACGTAGGTGACATGCTCAGGGACTGCACACACACCCCGATAGCTATGGACAAGCCCTTGTTTTTCCCCTTGCTTGTGCATGCTAGAAACATGGCTACCTCAGTGCTTGAGAGCATGCCCTGCCCATCTCTGAGCGGGGGAAGGTCTGCCAGGTCAGGAACTTGTGGGAATAAGCAGGGTGGGAGGGGTTCGTGGCGGCCAGAAAGGCTAACTATGTGGTGCCGCACATGAGGGCTAGGGCAGAGTGCAGCGCAGGAGATGCCTGGGGAGCGAGCCTTCTTTTGCTTCTTTTGCACAGGGCCTCTGACGGGGGCTTACAGGGTTTATTGCCATGACACTGATGTTTGCCATGTGCCTCCTTCACAGATCCTCCTCTGTGTTGATGGGAGCCAGGCGCTCTGCTCTAGAGGGGTGCCAGAGAATGCCAGAACAGACCCTGCACAGCAAGGGCCGGGGCAGAGGCCTCTGCGGAGCTGCCAGGGTTCCCACACTAGGAAGAACCTGGGAAATGATCGGGGGAGGGGAGGATCTCACAGGCCTCAGGACATTCACTCCTGATGGGGTCTGGCTCAGCTGGGTAAAGGGGACACATTCCAATTCCTGGGCAGTGCCTTGGGCCTCAGTCAAGGAGCATCATGGGAAAATGTGAGGAATCAGCCCATCAGGCCCACCTTGGAGATGAGCATGCCTTTCCCCCAAAAACCCTCTGCTGTGGTTCCCCCAGAGCCATCTGCACCTTCTGTGATGCCAACCCAACAGTGTGAGGGCCCCCTCCATGGCCAGCAACCAGGTGGCAGGGCCTGATATCAGCTGGGGCCAAACTTAAGGCTACGAAGAGTGAGTGACAGGAGAGCATGGGTCCCCTGGGAGCAGCAGCCAAGGCAGACATCTTCCAGATCTGTCCCCGTCACCTCCTTGCCGTGTGGCCTCGGAGCCCCAGCCCTATCCGTTTGTAATAGGGTGGCTGTCTTTTCTCACTGGCCTCACAGGGCCACAGGCTGGACTGTCGCTGGTTTGTCCAGAAGGACACTCTGCCCCCACTTACTTACTGCTTACTGCTGGAACAGAAGGAGCAAAGGGGAACCTTCTGGTCAAGCCACCGGGCCCAGCTCCACTCTGTCAGTTGTCAGGGTCCACGTGAGCACAGGCTCTGTGGACATTGTTGGCCTGTCTCCCAGGGAGGACACAGGCTGAGTGGCTTCACCGAACTCCATCCCTCCGGTCTCCTAGCATTTTCCACCCTCTCTCCTGGTTTCCCTGGGTGGCTCAAGCTGTCCCAGGTTGGCCTTCACCTCCTCAGACGGAGTAAGGAAGAACCCCGCCCTACCCCACGCCGTAGGTCTCAGCAGGAAGGTGGTCTAGAACCATGTTCGTTAAAGAAGTAGAGAGGCAATCAGCCCTCAAGCACCATACTGGGTCCCTATCCGGAAGCCAGGAAGGCCCCCAAGGCTTAGGCTGGTCATGGAGTGTTAGAGACAGCTGAAGGCAGAGCTGAAGGCTAGTCATTGGTCCATCCCTGCTGTGCAGAGGGGCCCCCTAGGGTGCCTCTGATTCTCACCTAATTCCATCAATGGAAGTAGCCACTGGGCTGGCATGCATTCTGCACACTCACTGCCATCCAGCAGTCCCATGGGAAGAGGGTCAGTAGAGACAGAAACAAACTCTGCATACAACTGCACAGAGGCCAGCAGCTGACCTTAGCAGGAGCTAGGTGAATCCCTGGGCTGAGTTAGAGGAAAGGTCTGAGGACCCCAAGGGTTGAGGGCATGAGCACTGGGTGTCTGGGCAGATGCGGCTGGTGGCCTACAAGGCCATATCTGGAGAGTGGCCCTCCGTGCTCTGTGTCACCACTGTTCCGACGGCCCTCTGAAAGGACACTGCATGTATTGCTCCTATGCCCCGTGACAGTGTGTGACACACGTGACGCTCAGTGGTGTGTGGCTTAGTGCAGTGGCAGAGGGAAAACATTGCTGGGGAAGTGGCAACTGCAAACACTTATGTGCGGGCTGGGAGCCATGCCCCTTCTGCTGGGTTAAAGGGTCCATGACAGGGAAGTCTAGTGGTCGCTACCTTAGACCACCCCCTGCAGAGATAGCTGAAAGCAGATCTGATGAGCCAGCCCTGCTGCATGGGAATGTAGTGGAACCACCTATGGATGTAAAAAGACTCCGTATCGTAAGAGGCCACGGACTTGAGGAAACTTAAAGGCAGCGTAATGAATCATTTGTCAACTTGACACAGCTAGAATCCGCCGAGAAGAGAGTCTCAATGCCTGGGCTAGGCTGGCCTGTGGGCATGTCTGTGGGGGTTGTCTGTGCTAGGCTGGCCTGTGGGCATGTCTGTGGGGGTTGTCTGTGCTAGGCTGGCCTGTGGGCATGTCTGTGGAGGTTGTCTGTGCTAGGCTGGCCTGTGGGCATGTCTGTGGGGGTTGTCTGTGCTAGGCTGGCCTGTGGGCATGTCTGTGGGGGTTGTCTTGAGTTAACTGATATGGGAAGATGCCAGCCCAGTGTGGGTGGCACCATTCTCTAGACAGGGATTCCTGAACTGTGTAAGAGCAGAGAAATGGGGTTGAGCCAAGCAAGCAAGCAGCCGTGCGTGCATTCATTTCTTGTCTGCTCTTGGCTGGATATATGACTAGCTTCTAGAAGACCCACCACTGTGGTTTCTCTGCTAGGATAAATCATAACCTGGAGTGTAAGGCAAACAAACCCCATTTCCCCTCCGTCCTTTTTTCTGTTGGGAATTTTATCACAATACCAGAACCGAGGCCAGAACAGTGTTAATGGCAGAGAATAGTGGCACCCACCTGTCATTCCAGCACACAGAAAAAAGCAGAGACAAGATGTTTGTGAGTTCTAGATCATCCTGGGCTATGTAGTAAGTTCTTGGTCAGTCTCAGCTGCACAGTTAAATACCTCAAAACATAACCCCATGCAAAAGAAGAAAAAGAAAAAAGGCAGAAGCATGTGATAGGGACAATAAGGTGACTTGGTGGAATGTTCCAGTGTTAGTCCCCCCCTTTTCTCTATGTGTGTATCATTGGAAAGTGAACCGAGGGCCCTATCACTAAGCTATAGTCTCAGCCCTATTTCTACTAAGGCTAAGTCACCCATCTGTCCCTGATCGCTCTATAGCCCAGGCTGACCTTGAGCTTATGATGTTGCTTCAGCATCCCACGTGGATGGAGTTCCAGGCCTGTGCCACCATGCCCAGCCAGTCTTCTGAGTCTTCTCAAACAAGGCTTGTTAGCTCTGAGCCAGGAACTGTGTAGCTTATCGTCCTTTTTGGCCAAAGCCAGGGGATAGCCAAAGAGACTAAGGCTACCTTGGATCCCACTGGGGACCTAGCCCAGTGAGGATGTTCCAGCAGACAGCTGAGGTCCTAGCCACGAGGAGCAATAGGGGAAGGCAGTAACTATAGGCCAGGCGTGCTCCAAATGGAACCTGGCTGAGACAAGCTGACTATGCTTATCTAAGGCTGACATGGCCATTGGTCCTCCTCAGGCCTGCAAGGACTTCCTGGAATTAGCAGAGACTCACAGCCGGAAATGGCAGCGGGCTCTGAACTATGAGCAGGAGCAGCGCGTCCACCTGGAAGAAACCATTGAACAGCTGGCCAAACAGCACAACAGCCTTGAGAGGGCCTTCTGCAACACCCCCGGAGGGCCGGCCAACCCCAGCAAGAGCCTCAGCGAGGGTGCGTGTGCAAGCCAGGCTGGTGCCAGCCACACACACACACACTCATCCCCTCTTCCCAGCTGACCACATCTTCTTTCTACTGTGCCTCTCGGGCCCCATAAATCTGTCCCTTAAATGACCTCATGTCACATGGGCTTATCCCAAGGAGGACAGACTGCCGTCAGTGGTGCTGTATGTCCTGTACCTGCCACCAGGTACAGCCCCTACCCACCTGCCACCAACTGGCAACAGCCCCCACCCACCATGTTCCAAATGTTCAGTGAGCCCAGCTGTTCTGTCTGGGGCAGGGTTGCCCGGGTGTCAGGTGGCTGCCTACCTAACATCAGGCTAGGGGCCATCACAGGTCCCCTGGGCAGGGGATTTGGGCCACAGGCAGTCTGAGCAAGCATGGACAAATCAGGAAGCTTCTGGAAGGAAAATGCCTGTCCCAGCAAAGCTAATATGGAGGTCCGAGTGCAAGACAACCAGGATTGGGTGTCTGAAGTGGGCAGGCGAGGCCGGTGGGGTTAGAGGGGACGAGGACAGGGTGAGGCTGCTAACGGAGCGGCTCTGTGTGTCTAGGAAGCTTCTTGACTTCCAGAGGGGAGAACAGTGAGGAAGATGAAGATACTGAGTACTTTGATGCCATGGAGGACTCTGCATCTTTCATCACCGTAATCACCGATCCCAAGGAAGACAGGTAGGATGCTTGTTGAGCATAGATGGAGAGAGAGGGAGGGAGAGAGAAACTAGGTATGATGGTTCGCCTCTTTAATCCCAGTACTCTGGAGGCAGGGGGCAGTGTATCTCTGTGAGTTCAAGGCCAGGGAGCTCCAGGTTAGCTCCAGGTAAAGACATCTCAGTAGCATTTTAACCCACAGCTGGCATCGCCTGGTCTTCTGAACTTCTGACCTAACACCAGCAGAGTCCGACCGTTATGACTCTGCAGCCAGGGTGGTACTGCTATCCTCACTCTGAGGATGTTGGGCTCCCTATAACCGCCTGGTCTTCCTGCCTGTCTCCTGAGGCCCCAGCTGCCTGGCAGACCCACAGTGTCTGCCCGTGGGCTCCTAGAGCCTGGTCCTCCACTTTGGTGTCCCTGCTGTGGCAATCTATCCCACAAGTGACAGGAGAGCAGGAGAGCATCAGATCCATCCAGCACTTGCGGACCCCAATGTGGGAAGCAGATAAAGACACACTTTGCCTGTGGGACAGTGGGGCCCATGGGTTTGTACCAGGCTCTCGCAGACACTGCACTCAGCACTTGCTCTCTTCTTGGTCCTGGGTTCAAGGCCTCTAGACAAGGGCTTTGCTAGCAGCGAGTACTGATGAACGGAACTTAATTGCGAGCAACCATGGTGGGTAGGAGCCCTGCAGATCACTGCCCTCGTACCCCGGTGCTGCCTAGATAGAAGGTGGGCGGGGTTAGAGGCAGATATCAGACTCTGTCTGTAACTTGTTTCTCCATTACCCGCAGACGAGCCGAGGGAGGATCTGGGCCAAGCTCTGTGGACTGGACCTCAGCAGACAATGTACGTGAGGCGGGAGCATACAAGAGACAAGAGGTGGCCTCTGCCCTTATCACCAAGCAGTGTAACAGCATATGGCTCCCCACCCGTTCTTGGAGGGTCAGGAGCAAGTGTGTGGACTCAGAGGGCTCGGGGGTCTGCTGACGGAATGCCTGCTTCTCTGGCAGGTGTTAGATGGTGCCTCGTTTGCGCCCAAGGATTCATGCAAAGTCAAGAGGCGAGTCCGCATCCCAGACAAGCCCAACTACAGCCTTAACCTCTGGAGCATCATGAAGAACTGCATTGGCCGAGAGCTCTCCCGGATCCCCATGCCGGTAGGCGCCTCTGGGCAGGGGCCACGGGCTCCTGGGATGTGGTGTTTCTTCATGGCACCTGAGGGGTGTGTGACAGGATCTTCTTGTTCCTTAGATGGTCCCGCAGAGAACGTGGACCTTCAAATTGCAAAGGAAGGAGCCGAGGCAGAGCTCTATGTGATTATAGCTGGGGGACCCAGAAAGACCCATAGTGTCCCCACTGTCCTCACGTGGTAAATGGGGTGACAGAGATAAGTAGGCTTTGGGGGGTGAAGGTGTAGCCCTTCCTGCCAGAGGCTGTCCCTGGTAAACTGTTGGCAAATGGAGACTCAGTAAGGTCACACAGCCATCCAAAGACATCTGGGGTCCCTGTGTCACTAGGCTGTGGTATCTTCTCCAAGGAAGAGCTTGGGGGCTCCCTACTGTGTGACATATGAGTCCTTTCATACCACTGGTCTGTGTCCACACAGCTGAATCACAGCACACACACGCACATGCACACACAGGCACACGTACGTACACATGCACGCACGCACGCACGCACACATGCACACTCACACGCATGCACACTCACAGCACACGTGCACACACACACAGGCACAAGCACATATGCGCACGCGCACACACACGTACATGCACACACAGGCACACACGCACACTCACGCACACTCACACGCATGCATACTCACAGCACACGTGCACACACACGCACAGGCACAAGCACACGTGCGCACACACACGCACACACACGCGCATGCACACCGTATATCTGGAGGGTAGAGTAGGATATTATCAGGGAAGGCTTACTTTCCAAGGGAGCATAACCCTGATTTGTCTGAACCCAGTGGAACCAATTCCCACCCAGCCTGCATAGCACAAGAGCCCGTGCCAGAACACCTAGCCCACCGTGGACCCCTGGACTCATGGTTTCTGGCTTTGAGCCTGATGCCCCAGCTCTGATCACAAAGTAGCCTGATGCCATGGCTTTTGTGAAAGAGATAGTGCACATAGATCATCCGGGTGGCACCAAGTGGCACGTCAGCAAGCGGCGTGTGCTGAGGGGAAAGGGAAGGCAGGACGTGCTGGACACGAACCTCCCTGCGAAGGGAAGGTGCCGCCAGAGCAGAGGTGTCCCTCACTGAGAGAAAGGCAGGGGCGCTCTGATAGTCACCTCCTTGCAACACCCACAGGTGAACTTCAATGAGCCCTTGTCCATGCTCCAGCGACTTACAGAGGACCTAGAGTACCACCACCTGCTGGACAAGGCCGTAAACTGCACCAGCTCGGTGGAGCAGATGTGCCTGGTAGCCGCCTTTTCTGTGTCCTCCTACTCCACCACCGTACACCGCATCGCCAAGCCCTTCAACCCTATGCTGGGGGAGACCTTCGAGTTGGACCGCCTGGAGGACATGGGCCTGCGTTCTCTCTGTGAGCAGGTAAGGCCGGACATCAGGTGGTGCTCGTTCACTCCGGCCAGGTGTTTGCCAGGTTGAAGGTCACAGGGAGACTTAGTGGGGTGCAGTTCATGTCTAACTGGGCAGCTCGGCCCCACAGCAGGGGGTGTGGGAGGAGAGCATGGTGTGACAGCCGGGCTGGTAGAGAAGGACAAATCTCCCAGCCAGGGAACAGGGGGCAAAGTATAGAGGGTAGTCTGCAGGGTCACTGAGGAGCCCAGACAGGCCCTGAACTAAAAAGTGGCAGTGCAGTTGGGAAGGACACTTTCCTGGGCAGTGAGCCCTCTGCCGCTTCCCCATGAAGATGAATGAATGAGACACATGGTCTCATGGCAGCCTCCGGCTGAACCGGGGCACCCTTGTGCTGCAGCGGGCCCTGCTCTGCCTCCACGATTGGCAGGAACTTGGAAAGTTGCCCCAGTGGCTGCCACTTTAGAGACACCCCAGGGTTCCGTGGCGGAGTTTCAGACAGAACCAGAAAATGTGCTGACACTTTAGATGCGGGGTTTGGGGCTCCCAAAGCCCTTGACCTGAACCCCACATTCCTTTATTCAGCCAGGGGTGCGTGCCCTGGGGGCGTCAGTTGTAGTGAAACCCAGAGTTCACAGCTGGGACTGGAAGACACAAAGCTCTTGTTATCCCGGTACTTCTAGCGGCTTAGGCAGAGCAGTCAGGAAAGCATCCTGGAAAGGAGGGACCGATGGAAAAGAGGGGAGAGCTGGGCAGGGAGAGCTCTGCTCAGGAAAGCTGGGAGAGTGTGGATGGGGTCGGGAGAGTGGGGCTGCTGGATGCCTTTGGAAAGGAAAGACAGCATTTGCAGAGGAAGCGATGTGGAAGGCGAGGAGGAGGGGCGGGGCGAGGGAGAGTGGCAGCATTCAGGGTGAGCAGCAGGATGGAGCAGGCCCTGAGACTGAAGGGGAAATGCCCCAGGCCCCAGGACCTCCTCCTGGGTTCAATCCCTGCACTGGCTCATCAGGCTTGCTCTAGTTGCATGTGTAAACACCCTAGCGTGGGTAACACCCATCGTGCAGGGCAGCACACAGGCTGTATCTGTGTACTTCCAATGCACAGGAGGCATACAGGTACCATTCGTGGAAAGAAACAATAATCACAGGGGAGCATTGGGCTCACCGAATCCGTGAGGGGAATGCAGGTACACGGCTCCGCCCTGAGGCTGTGAGGCACTCTGTAGGGTAAGGAGGCTGGGCCAGACAGAGCCTGGCTGTTGTGGAATCTGGAGGGGGCACCATGAAGAGTCAATGGCACAGCCACTCTATGTAGGGACATGACCAGCAGACAGGTGCCCTGGCGGGTAGCAGTCAGGTGTGTTCTGGGGCATAAGAGGGAGAGAGAAGTTCTGTGGTGTTGGGGGCCCTGGTGTAGGGGGCACACAAGGCCCACGGCAGGACCCTGATACAGCCCTCACTCTGAAGTCAGACCAGATTCTTTTCCTCGGTTCTGCCAGTCTGTCCTCAACCTGTGTATCTGTCTGCAGCCAGCCCCAATTACATGCACCTGCCAGATACGTGGCATCTTAGTTACTTTCATATTGCTGTGATAAAACGTTGTGAAGAAAAGTTTAATATAGCGTGCAGTTACAGATGAGAGTGTATATAACAGAGGCGTAGAGTTGTGGGGTGGAGCAAGGGCAGGGAGGCAGACCAGAGCAGCAGCTGAGAGCTCACATGGTGACCCACACAGGGGAGCAGAAGCAGAGCGAGAGGAGAGAGAGGAAAGGGAGCGCCAACCAGGGACACATGGGCTTTTTAAACCTGAGTCCACACCCATGACACACCTCCTTGCACAGGCCTCACCTCCCAGTCCTTCCCCAATAGCTCCAAGCATGAGCGGCTGGGGGTCCTTCCCCTTCAGATCACCTGTGTGGTAAGCGTTAAAGGAGGGGGCACAGAACCCCAGGAAAGCAGCGCCTCCCACTTCCCGGGCACAAACTCTGCTTTCCCTGCCCCGCTGTTTCCCAAGAGCAGACGGGGCTTACCCATGCCATCCCCATGGGCTGGGCAAGCCCAGGGTGGAGAGTGACAGGCTGACCTTCCACTCAGGCCACTGTGCTCCCTGGGGACCTGCCTTGGAGCAGGGTCCCTACAAGGAGCAGTCCAAGGGATGGAGCCTGGACATAAGGCAGGCTGTCCTTCCCTGGCCGGCTCTGTGTCTAGCTATGCTCACATGCAGCTGCTCTCGTCCCAGGTGAGTCACCACCCCCCATCTGCTGCCCACCATGTGTTCTCTAAGCATGGTTGGAGCCTCTGGCAGGAAATCACCATCGCCAGCAAGTTCCGGGGGAAATACATCTCCATCATGCCACTTGGTGAGCTGGGGCCGGGGGTTCCCAGGGTGGGAAGAGGTTTGGCTTCAGAGGGAGGGCTTTGTACATCTAAAAGCCGGCTGTGGCCCCCGGGGAAGGCTGCACTGCCCATGTCCACAGCCCATTGATCTTCTAGCCTATATTCCATCCCCTCAAAGCTTCCCAGATGTTCCTCTGGCTCTTGACCCTGGGCCTATGGGGGGGTCTGGCCAGAGCCTAATAAGGAACCCATGACCTCTGACCTTTCTGGCCTCCAGGTGCCATCCACCTAGAATTCCAGGCCAGTGGCAATCACTATGTGTGGAGGAAGAGTACCTCAACTGTACACAACATCATCGTGGGCAAGCTCTGGATTGACCAGGTCAGGGGGTCCTTGGGGAGACGGGGCCTACGACCTAGGGCCTGGCCACTGACACCACCTGCTCTCTCTAGTCAGGGGACATTGAGATTGTGAACCACAAGACCAAGGACCGGTGCCAGCTAAAGTTCGTGCCCTACAGTTACTTCTCCAAAGAGGCGGCCCGAAAGGTAACTAGGACCATGCCTGGAACCTCCGTGGGCCCAGAGCAGAGTGTGTGCTTATGTGTCCTGCCAATGTTCACAGGTGACCGGAGTGGTGAGTGACAGCCAGGGCAAGGCCCACTATGTGCTGTCAGGCTCGTGGGACCAGCAGATGGAATGCTCGAAGATCGTGCACAGCAGCCCCAGCATCCCCAGCTCTGACGGGAAGCAGAAAACCGTGTACCAGACGCTGCCCGCCAAGCTGCTGTGGAGGAAATACCCACTGCCGTGAGTCAGGCCGGAGCAACAGCTCTGGGGGTTAGGGACCAAGACAGAGGCAGAGAAAACAGGGCAAGGAGGAGACAGGCATAGGGCCACCCCGTCCCACCTGGCAGAGAGCATTGAGGTCTGGGATTTCAGTCCAGCAGAGATCAGGGCCAGGAGGTCCTCATCCCAGGTCAGAAAGTGGCTGCCCAGCCGGACGAGGGCATAAAGATATATCCAGTGGCAGCACGTGGTGCTATGCAGACACTTTGCGTAAAGTGCCAGGGTAGACGCCTTCCCTGCAATGTCACAGGAAGTTAAAATCAAGCTCGACATAGCTCACAGGAAACAGACTGAGAACCTCACAGTGAAAACCAAAGAGAGAAATCTACAAAGGAGACAGCCGAAGTGGAGAATCCTCAGCAGGGTTGGGTAGGGCAAACGTGCGTGGCCTTGGGATATAGTCGGCAGAAATGTGTTGCTGCAGAAACGCAAAAGCTGGCAGCCAGACGTGGAGCGACACTTGCAACTCCAGCACTCGGAAGGCGGAGAGGGAAGAGTTGCGGGGGCCAGCCTGAGCTGCATAGTGAGCCAGCTTGGGCTGCATAGTGAGCCAGCCTGAGCTGCATAGTGAGCCAGCCTGGGCTGCATAGTGAGCCAGCCTGAGCTGCATAGTGAGCCAGCCTGAGCTGCATAGTGAGCCAGCCTGGGCTGCATAGTGAGCCAGCCTGAGCTGCATAGTGAGCCAGCCTGAGCTGCATAGTGAGTGTGGAACTGTCTCAAGAAACTGAAGGCCCAGTCCTCAGTCCCCCCAAGGAAGTCCCAGAGCACCTCATGAACTCATGTCCCAGACTCCCCGGACAGTCCTCAGCCACATAAGGTCCTATTGAGCGTGCTTCTAAACCAGAGTCCCAGCAGGTGCTACTGGAGAGACAATGGCAGAGAGCTCTCCCATCTATTAAAGCAGCCAGATTAGTTTGGTTTTTTTCAGGTCACTATTTAGTTCAGGTTGGCCTGGGACTTGCTGGGTAGCCCAAGGTTCAAATTTGGACTCCTCCTGCCTCAACCTCCTAAGTGTTGGAATCTCAGTCATGTACCCAAGCAGCCAGATTCTTAGAAAGATGTCACTTGTTGGAATCCCGCACTCCAACAGCTGTCTTCAGAAATAACGGGAGCCTAAAGACAGCCAGATGATATCACACAGGTGCTGACTAACTGAAGGGGGCAGGTATCTCCATCCTTTGGTTAACACCAAGCTGACATGTTTTCCTGGATTCACACGAGGAAAGTAAAGAAGCATAAAATGGGAAGGAGGTAGACTAAGAAAATACCCAAACCACTTTCCTGAAGGTGTAGACACAGCATATACAAACCCTCATTCAGTCCCAGCACAGGGGACAAGTTCCCCGATTTAAAAAGACAAAGAGATGAAAATAGGCCTTGGGTCAAAAGAACTCATAGAATGGTCAAAGTAAGAGATAAAGAACATGTCCATCTAGAACCTGCTGTAGTCAAAATGGCCTAAGTCAGGAGGATCACCAGTTTAAGGTCAGCCTAGGCTACAAACCCTGCCTCAAAAAAAGTCAGTGTTTCAATTTATCTTAATTGTTTTATGGATCACCTGCATGCAATGCCCTAAGAGGCCAGAAGAGGGCGTCCGATCACTTGGCACTGGGAAGTTACTGGCAGTTGTAAGCTGCCATATGGGTTCTGAGGATTGAACTCAGGTCCTCTGGAAGAGCAGCCAGTGCTCTTACCCATGGGATTATGGCTCCAGTCCCTCAATTCATTTTAAATAATGGGGGCCACAGAACATTTTGAAGGCCAGAGGAAAGCTGTGCCTTACTGAGTCTTTGAGGTTGTAATAGAATGGAATCCTGTGCCCAGAAATGTCCTTGCAGGTTTATGCACCTCTGAGACATGGCAGAGGCACAGCAGATCCTTTGGAAAGATGGGAGTGTACTCACTTAAAGAGTCTGAGACAGACAGAATTAGTCCCACCAGGAAAAGGACCAGCCTCTCCCCTACACCTTGCATTACAACAAAATTTAATCTCAGATAGCATCTCCCAGTGAGAGCAAGTCTGACTGTTAAGCAGTAACACTCTAGATATAAAACTATAAGCAGCTATCTTCTAACTCCTATGAAAATGTATCATCATACAGAGAGAGAGAGATATGCAATGCTGATGCACTTAAGTCTACCAGAGTACTTTTGTTCATTATGATTAATTTTGCCAATGAAAAGACCCTTTATGCCAGGTGTGGTGGCTCATACTTGCATTCCCAGCACCTGAAAATAGAGACAAGTGATAGGAAATCTATGGCCAGCTTGCTACATGGTGAATTTGAGGCCAGCCTCAGCTACATAAGAGACCCTGACTCAAAATAAATAAATAAATAAATAAATAAATAAATAAATAAATAAATAAAACTAAAAAGTATGAAGAAAAGGTTAGATGCATCCACAGCACCTGTACTTGGCAGAGGGTTACTGCCAAGAACAGAGACAGAGCCATTGTGATATACCTTTAATCACCAGCACAGAAGAGCTCTGTGAGCTCAAGGCCAGTCTGGTCTACATAGTAAGTTCCTAACCAGCTAGAAGTACATAGTAAGATCCTGTTTGTTTGTTTTATTGCTGTGAAAAGACACCATGATGTGCCTCTGTAAAGAGACGGATATAAAAGAAAGCATTTCATTGGGGCTGGCTTACAGTTCCAGAAGGTTAGTCCATTATCATCTGATGGGGAGTGTGGCCACAGGCAGACATGGGGCTGGAGTAGAAATTAAGAGTTCACATCCTGATCTGCAGGCAGCAGCAAGCAGAAAAAGACAGGGAGGGAGGAAGAAAAGGAAAAAGAGAGGGAGAGGGAACTAGAGAGACTGGGCCTAGCCTGAGCTTTGGAAACCTCAGAGTCCACCCCCAGTGACACAGCTCTTCCAACAAGGCCACACCTCCTAGCCCTTCCCAGACAGTTCCACCACCTGAGGACCACGCATTCAAGTGTGAGCCCATGGGGGCTACTCTCAAGCCACCACAATTCTATCTCAGAAACCAGCAAACAGACAACAAAACAAATCAACACCAGAACCCCAGCCAACCATAAATAAATATTTAAAAAAAAAAAAGAAGAGGGTGCTCACTTATGGTCTCAGCACAGAGAAGGCTGAGGCATTAAGGTCTTGAGTTCAGGGGGACCCTGGGATACATGGTAAGACCCTGTCTCAAAAACACATGCAGAAAGCGGAAAGTAAGCTGGGGTTAAAGCTCAAGTCAGGGATAAAGTCTGATTAGAATGCACAAGGCCAAACCCCAGCACTAAGAATAAATAAGAGTATTTTATTATAAAAAACAACTTAAGAGATGGAGTGCTAAGTCACAACACTAATCCCAGTATTCTGGAGGCTGAGGTGGGAAGATCACCACAAGTTAGAAGTCTGGGCTGCACTGTGGGGTTCCAAGCCAACCTGAGCTACAGAATGAGACCCTGTCTCAAAAAGCCAAAAATAGGGGCTGGAGAGGTATCTCAGAGGTTAGATGTGACTGCTGCTCTTGCAGAGAACCTGGATTCAGTTCCAGCACCTATGTCCAGTGGCTCACAACCACCTGAAACTCTGATGTCACTCACACTCAAATATGCAGGAACCCCCCCACACACACATATATATTTTATAGAAAAACAGAAATAGTATAATTTAAAATTAACACATAAATAACTTGTGTTCAAAAAATATGGCAAAAAAAAAATTCAATAGAGAAATGTGCCAGGGTCGTGATTAGAATTTCGCACAAGACTAGTTGTGAGAAAAACCATCACACAGGTCAGCGAACATGGCTCAGAGGGAGAGCTCTTGTCTGGCATGCTCCCAGAACCACACCAAAATAGCTTTTTTAAAAAGCCCAACAGTAACTGGGAAAATGCAAACCCAAACCCCACAAGAAGCCATTTTACGTTCATTTGATTAGCAAAATGAAGTAAGGGGTCAGGCCTGAAGATTTAAACCATCAGTATTTCTGACAAGTAGGGTGTTCACTGAAAGAACTGCCCTGGGACAACCCAGACCCCATGTCCTAAAGAACCATCACGCTCTGTAACCGTCCTCCCCACCACCATCTCTTGTGGATAGAGAAAGGCATGTTTGTTTGCAGTGCAAAGGACAGAGCAATGGGAACCAAGGTCCTAGAGTCAAGCCTGAGGCATCGGTACAGCATCTCGGAATTAAACCCTAATATGTGAATCCTCCAGCATGAGTGGGAAATTCCACAACAGATGTCTCTTGCAGGGTCACAGTCACAGCAAAAGTACACTCACAATACGGTGTTAAATCACCCTTAGGCTGTGCTTATGATACAATTGAAACACACACTTAAGTCCCAGCCCCAAGATAACTCTGTGTCTACACATACTCCAAACTCCTCAGCATTTTGGAAAAGTATGCAGCCTGGGTATAAGATCGAATTTTTAAAACTCCCAGCTAATCTACAAAAGATATGCTTGAGTAAGAAAATAAAGGGGCTGGAGAGATGACTCCATGTTAGGAGCACTGGCTGCCCCTCCACAGGACCCAGCTCAAGTCCTACCCCTCACACGACTGCTCATAACTTTCAGGGGATTCATGGTACCAGGCATGTACATGGTGCTTGCAGACAAAATACCCATTCACATAAAATAAATAAAATCCTTTTTTAATTTTGAAGAAAATAGAGACAGGAATGAAGGATGAAAAAATATGTCCACACAGTAACCAAGCAAACTCCCCCAGAGCTGGAGGGAGTCACAGAGCAAACTACTTAAGGACAGAGGTCAGGAGCACCTGGTGACGAGGCCAAATAGGTCACCAGGCACTGAGTTTTCAGTTCGAACAGAACTTGCACCTAACAGTGCAACCTCGAAATACAGATGACATAGCAAAGCACCGGTGATAGAAAAGCAAAGGGAAATCACTGTCTAGCCATAGAGCACCATGTCACCCAGCTGCTGCAAACCCACGTGGGCATTGGCAACTTGGCCAGGGACTGGACCACTGAGCACAGCTCCAAGTACCAAGGATGCACTAGGGAGTATCGTTTGACTCCAGAGCAATTACACAGAGTAAAAAACAAGCAGACATGGTTATACCTTTAAGAAATATGCTCCAAACTAATCCATAGGGCAGAGAAGATGCGATGAAAGCCGGAATGATTACAAGAAGGTTGATAAGTGCTGGGACTGAGCCAAAGTCTTGCTTGGAGTGAGTGACAGGCAGCTTTGAAATGTGGATCACGCCGGAAAAACAGGGAATGAAAACAATGAGACAAGCATCCATCCCGAGGCAGAAAACCAGCAGAAGACGAAGCTCTAGCCACTAGGAAGGAATATGGTGCAGGAAGGAGTATGATGCGAAATAAAGCAGAAAGGAGCAGAGCAGAGAGGGACGACAAAGTTTTATCTCCAAACAGTGAACACACAGGCAGCTCTAAACTGGGTATTCAAGACCACCAAGGCGCTACAACCGACATAGCTGTGCCTGGAGCTCAGTGAAACAGAATAATGGGGGGAACCTTAGGCTGATAAATGAGACACCATTTAAAGAAAGATAAAAAAGAAGAAGAAATCCCCAGAGAAATCCAGCATAGCGAAGCAGTTGCAGGTGGGTGTGAGCATGCTAGGTGAGCACTGTAGAGGGCGCAGGCTGGGTTCCTGAGGGGTGCGCAGGATCCCACCCGCCAGGGACAGGTCCTCCCTGGTCGCTCACGCTGCCGCGTCGCGGTCGCAGGGAGAACGCGGAGAACATGTACTATTTCTCGGAGCTGGCCTTGACCCTCAACGAGCAGGAGGACGGCGTGGCGCCCACCGACAGCCGCCTGCGGCCCGACCAGAGACTGATGGAGAAAGGACGCTGGGACGAGGCCAACACCGAGAAGCAGCGGCTGGAGGAGAAGCAGCGCCTGTCACGTCGACGGCGTCTGGAGACGTGCGCAGCGGGCTGCGGAGGCGAGGATGGTGAGCCCAGACCAGAGCATGGGGCACCGGGGTGGGGGGTGAGGAGGTGGGGCGAGCCCCGGGCTTGGCCAGGGCGGCGTGCAGCTCACCCCACCCGCTGTCTGTCAAGCAGAAAAGGAGTCAGAATACTACGCACCCCTGTGGTTCGAGAAGAGGCTGGACCCGCTGACCGGGGAGATGGCCTGCATGTACAAGGGCGGCTACTGGGAAGCCAAGGAGAAGAAGGACTGGCACATGTGCCCCAACATCTTCTGAGCCACTCCTGCAGCAAATACAGGCGCCTGCACAGCCCCCTCAGCCTTTTCTTTTTAATGCACCAAATTTAGTACTGAACACACACACACACACACACACACACACGCACGCACGCACGCACGCACACACACACACACGTACATACACACACACAGCTTTTTTCCTAAACGGGAGCTCCCACCAGGTTAAGGGCTGACCTGGGTTTTCTCCAGCCCCCAGGTCGCCAGCCCGTTACAATTGACTTGGGCCCCATGGGCACCCTTGTTCCCAGTTACCACAACTCAGGCGGGCTGGCTGGGCTATGGGCTGCTAAGGTCACTAACCCAACCCAGGGAGGAACTACCCCCTCCAAGGGAGCCCCTTTTGACTTTTTTAAGAAATCTCCATTTCTTTCTAACGATGAGGTTTAGTAACTATTTTTAAGCACATCACTTAGAAGACTCGACTTCCAAGTATGTGTTCTTGCCACCAACTGTCCTGGCAGGAAATGCTCTTTGGAAGACTTAAGGAAGCCAGGCCCCTTTGAGTGGAAGCACCTCTAACACACAGGGCTTTGTATCCCTGCTGCCCAAGCTCCGGGAGCCCAACAGTCTGCCTGACCCGAGGGCATGTGGGGTCCCTGGAGGGACAGCCCATAGTGGGAGTAGGGAGGCAGTTGAAGGCAGCCCCCATGTAGGATGACAGCAGCAGCCCCTGCCAGACCTTGGCCATGCTGGGACGGATGAGAAGGCGGGGCCTATAGGTGCTTCCTGCCCAAGAACCAGGCCCCCAAATCAGCAATAAGGAGCAAACCCTTCACTCAGCCTGGGCTGGTGACCCAGACTCTAGACTCCTGGCCTCCCGTCTTGTCCTTAGGCGGCATCCGGGTGCCTCATCTCAGCACTCCTGACATCTTTATTTGCCTAATATATATATATATATATATATATATATATATATATATATATATATGTTATATAAATATATATAAAATAGCTATTTTACTTAAATTTCTATGGTATGTGAAAGTGAAAAATGATGAAGACAGCGTGTGCCTGTCTGAATTTGGCCTCCTGCCAGCTGTGCCCTGGCCCTGTTCTTGTACCCCTTCTAGTGGCTTCTGCCAAACTTGGAAATGAAACGTGTCCCTCAGACATCTCTGACTTCAACCCGTTCCACTTCAGTTTGGTCTGGAAAGTTCACTGCAGGGCCTTTCTTTCTACTCCAGGGCTGGTTTTTATTAAAAAAAAAAAAAAAATGAAACACCAAGTGTGAAATGCCTTACCAATGCCCGCTCCAGAAATGGGGGGATGGGGAGAGGAGGGGAAGGCACCGCATTCCCTCAGAGCTGGGATGCACCTCTCCCCAGCGTGCTGAGCAAGCACCTTCTGACCATAATAAAAACCTTGGTTCTGGAGTTTTCCACAGCCCTGTCCCAGAATCTGTCTGTGGCTAGATGAAGTGTGGCTAATGAAGGTGACAGCCGTGTGGGGGTGAGGGATGGCGGCATGGGGCTCTCTGCTTGACTCCTAAGCTGCAAGAGGTGAGTCTGGAGCGGGATGGAGGAGGCCTGAAGGGACAGGTCTCAATGGACAGAGGGGCACAACTGACCAGAGGAGACACACTCCTGTACCAGCACAGCCACAGTACAGAATGGCCCCAGATGTGCCTCACAAGTCACACAAAAGCCAGCAGCACCTCCTGTCCGTCATTCCTACAAGTGTTCAGGTGGAAGCACCTGGCCGTGGGCCTCACAAGCCCTCTGTAAAGGTCAGTGAGTAGTTCCATGCTTCCTGACAACTGTAGCCTAGGCAACATGTATTGTCCTGTTGCCAGGCAACTCTGACTTCAGAGCCATGGACCAAAGGGGTCTCCCCGTGAGGGGAGTGTTGGGGCTAGGCTCCCCATCTGCCTCGAGGCCTAGGTATACCACAGGCTCTAACCAGGCCCCAGAAAGAGCTTTCCAACCCTGTTCCATCCCTGCACAGGTGGTCACTGTGAACAGCAGAGGCAACCCTGGGATGGACCAAGTCAGAGGGCAAGGGAGGGGACAAGCCACACTGGGCACAATCAGAGAAGACAAAGGCCTGCACACTGAAACAGGGAGACGCGAAGAGCCAGGAATGGACCAGCAGAACTCTGAAGTGGGAGTAATAGCAACCCAATGTTCTAGAAAGATTGACCTACACTCTGATTCCCTGTATGACAGCTCCTCTGAATGGGAAATGCATTTCTAAGAAAAAAGAGGGGCTGCCACGAAAGCGGGCTTGGTAGGGTCTCAGCAGCAGGCAGATTTATTCTCCCAAGCAAAACTTAAAATCACTAGACGACACAAATCCTTCCTGGGGTGGCAAAGTAAATGAAGGGATCTGGAGGATGGCTCAGTAGATAAAACACTCACCATACACACAAAAGTATCAGAGTTTGGGTCCCCAGAACCCATGAAACCCAGACAAGTATAGCAGTCACCTGTAATCCCAGGAGGATCTCTGTAAGTTCAAGGCCAGCCTGATCTACAGAGTTCCAGGACAGCCAGAGTTACACAGAGAAACTCTGCCTTGAAAAAAAAACATAACAAACAAACAAAAAAAATTGCTCAAGGCCCAATGCAAAACCACAAGTAACATGAAAACCAAGGCAATGTCACACCCCCAAATGTAATCATCCTACAGCAGTGGCCTCCACCAAGAGTGAATCAAATGAAATCCCAGACAAAGAACTCAAAAGAATGACTGCATGCTCCAAGAAATCAAAGAAAAATAAACTCCTATTCCAGGAGAGTACAGACAGCTGCATGAAATAAGCAAGCCAATACAAAATCTGAAAGAGGAAGTCAAGAAATGCAAACAATGAAAAAAAAAAAAGTCCTGGAATGAAAAGTAAGTTAAGCATAAAGCTCAGTGGAAAGGCTCACCAACAGAATGGATCCAAAGAAAGAACAGAATATCTGAGTGTGAAGACAAAGAAGACTTGGAACATCCCAGCAAGGACAAAGGCAACAAGGTATATGCAACACTTTAAAAGGAATGCAGGCAAGACTTCTAAAGGCATCAAAAACATTTTCAATAAAACAAGCTTTCCCAAAGTCAGGAAAAACTATTGTAATCCATACATGAGAGACATTCAGAACATCCAACAGTAGGACCATAAAAACAGTGTGACATTGGCCTTTCCTGGGGAGATGTGAACACCTCTCACCCCTGAAGGGCACTTAGGACAGACCCAAGGTTCATCATGGTGAACCAATGAGTTTATTAGGCTTACATACAGAGCATAGGTGAGAAGTTCATTGTGGGAGGTTGGGTGACCCCCCAAACAATGGAATCATCACAAAGTCCCACCCTGTCATGGATGAGAACTTCATGGAACGTTCATCCTAGGCTAGGGTTCAGTTAACTTCCCATTTGCTTTATCATCTCCCAAGATAACTTAGAGCAGAGAAGGAGGAATAATTGAGAATTTCAGTGAGGGTCTTGTGACCTTTACCTCCTTCATCTACTAGGAAGTATCATAACTCCATTACCATTTACCATAGACTTGGGCACTACTGTATTATTCTGTTCTACTTCCCATGGCTACTGGAGACCAAGTTCAAGATGGTATCATGTAAGGCCCGGAGAAAATAGCTATACAGCAGACAAATTATTTATCAAGGCATACCCATGAGAATGACAGATTTCTCAACACACACTTTAAGAGCCAGGCTTTATATATAGCAGTTTCCTCCAAACTAAAACATCCCTCCAGGAGGGAGAGAGAAATTCATTAACTCCAGAAGAAGGTTTCTTAAAGGCCCCCAGTAAACAACTGGCCAACTAAGCTGGAGAGAGGAGATTCTTGAACTTGTTGAGCTGCCTATAATTTATGTGAAGATCTCCAGAGTTGCAACTTTCATGAGCCCTCACCAAATTAAGCCTACCAAACAGACTTTTTGGTAATGTATTATCCTTGAGTCATCCTTGTTCCTATAAGTAACCCCTCGTGCATACCCAAAGAAGAAGTCATTGGCTTACCAACTTGGACTTTAGTGCAATCAAGACTTTGGTCTACCATGAGTTCCCCTTTTGCAACAAACAAATGTGTGTATGTTACATCCCCAGAGGAAAAGTCTCCCACACACCACCAGGAAGGCTTGGAATGATTTATTTCAAGTCTTCAAAGACAGCCATTGTAAGGAAAATATAAAAGACCTCATGCTTTTACATCGAGACCACTTCTAGATTTGGAGTGTCACCCTGAGTCAGAGTGTGAGGGTCCACACTCTACGGGTCTTTCAACATCAAATCAGACTACTATACCCAGCCAAGCTATCTGTTTTAATTGAAAGATAAAAACTTTCCACACTAAACAGGTTAAAGGAATTCATGACCAGCAAACCATCTCTACAGAAGATACTTGAAGAGAAAAACAAGTACATACATGAGACCACAGAAAAGAATTATCAACATTTAAGTAAGAAAGGAATAAGAAAACAAACACTGCAGAATCAACAAAATGACAGGAATTTCAATAAAAATTATTAATAGTCTCAATTCCACACTCAAAAGACATAGGCTAGTGAATTAAAAATCAGGATACATCTATTATCTTCACACACACAAAAAAATCTCACCATAAAAGATGGATGCTACCTTGGCATGAAAGGATGGAAAAGATATTCCATACAAATAGAAAAAAAAGAAGCAAGCAAGCCTCCCTATTTTAATACCTGACAAAGTAGACTTCAAGTTTAAACTAATAGGTGCCAGAGTGGTGGGACACGCCTTAATCCCAGCACTTGGAAGGCAGAGTGCGTGTCTGAAACCAGCCTGGTTTACAGAATGAGTTCCAGGACAGCCAGGGCTGCTACAGAGAAGCCCTGTCTCAAAAATAAACAAATAAATAACAGTAAACATTTACAAAGAGAAAGGTTATGTCCTACTGATCAAGGGGACAGTCCATTAAGAGGGCATTGCAGTTCTAAACACAAGCACCAACCACAGGAACATCTGGTTTCATTAAACAAATACAGCAAGGTATAAAGTCACAGATTAACTCCAGCACAACATTGGATGACCAACAGCTCACTCACAGCTGGTGATTCCCTGCAGACACTGGAGAAACATCTGAAGTAAGTGACATCACAGGGCAAATGGACTTCACACACATCTACAGACGTTCTGTCAAAACACTTGAAAATACATATTCCTTGAAGCCCATGGAGCCTTCTCTAAAATTAGTTATCCTGTTAGGACACAGAGCAAATCTTAACAAATACAGCAAAGTTGAAATAATCCATTGTATTCAATCACAATGAAATAAAGACAAATCAAGAAACACTGTAACTGGTGGAGATTAAACAATGTATTATTGAATAATTAATTGGTCACTGAAATCATGAAGAAACTCAAAACATACCTAA